AAACGTTAAACGTTAAACGTTAAACGTTTAAACGTTTAACGTTTAACGTTTAACGTTAACGTTAACGTTAACGTTAACGTTACGTTACGTTACGTTACGTTACGTTACGTTACGTTACGTTACGTTACGTTACGTTACGTTACGTACGTTACGTACGTACGTTACGTTACGTTACGTACGTACGTTACGTTACGTTACGTTACGTTACGTTACGTACGTACGTACGTACTCTCTCTCTCTCTCTCTCTCTCTCTCTCTCTCTCTCTCTCTCTCTCTCTCTCTCTCTCTCTCTTTGTGTGTCTATACACACATAAAACACTAAACGTTTTTTGCCAAAATCCAGAGGAGGATTCTGACCATCAATCCACCTTTTTTATTTTTCATATTTGGAAAATAGAAAAAAGAATTTTTAGGGTTTTTTCTGGGCAAGAAATGTTCTTTTCTCAAATCAACGCAATAGGTCGTTTCTTCTCTTCAATTGCTTTATTGTTTAATGGAACTATGGAGTATGTAGATAGATGAAATTTGTTCCATATCATGAATTTAGGGGTATTCTCGGGTTTTTATTTTAGTGAAATTTTGATTTTTAAGACCTTTGTTTCTTTAATGCACAAATGCAACTCAAGAAAATGTTAAACTATGAAAATATTATCATTAATAGGATTTTGTGCATTTTTTTGTACTTTCACTTGTATTTAAATCGATGATAGTAATGATATTGCCATGGTTCTGTGAATAATTGATTATTTTTTGTTCAATTGTTTAATAACTTAATTCAGATATATTCAATACTTTTAAAGAAAAGTGAAGAGTTTCTTTAATTTTCCATTGATTATCCTCAATGGGCTTGCGGCTGTGTTTTATTTCTTGCATTTTGTGAACTTGTAAAATCACGTAAGTGTGTTCTGCTCGCTAAGAGAAGATTATTTATTACATGTCCTTTTAGCATCTATATATAAGTGATCAGGTTGTAATAGTGTGAATGTAACAAACTATGGGCGTGTGGCTTATGGGATGTGGACGTGGAGTTGCAGACTAGTTTATTTACTTTTTTCATGGTTCATAACTTAAATCCTTTATGACAGTTTGTCTTGCTTCAATTTCATTGTTATTAGCTTGTTGCTTGATGGGTTTTGAGTGCATCATGAGAATTTAATTGAGATATGGACAGATGGTGTGTTAATATGCATGATTTTATTTTTGTTCCAAATAACCATATGAATTTTTCTGAATTTTCTAGATTTTCTTTTTTCAATATTTTCTCTATTATTGTTGTAATTTCCCTTTTACTTTTTTTTACCCTTCTAACCGGTGAATTAATCCAGTTTGACCAATCTGACAGAAGCAGTGCCCTCACTGGTTCCACCACCAGTCTGGCCTTAACAACATTGGAAGAGAGAAGGTTTGGCAGGCATACTGCAGCTATTAATAAAATATACGTGTAGGAACTTATATGTAAAGATTATCTTACAAGGAAGACCATTAAGACACAATTGGAGTTTTACTTTAACGTCCCTTCAAGAGATGGTAGCCTGGTTCTAGAACAAACCTTTTACAAATAATTTGTTAGTCTTAAAAAGTTTTTATATTAGACCATTACCAGTTCTATTGCTTACCTTATGTCAATACAACACATCATTTGTTATGCTTGCTGCAATCTTGTCTTGTTTGTTTCATCGTCTGCAAATTTTTACTTGAGAGTTGAGAATATATGCAATGATCAATAAGTCCAAGGCGGCCGCCTAAGCGGTGGGGGGGGGCTGGGCCGCATAGGCGGGCGCCCAGACCCAAAGGCAACCAGTATTTTTTAAAAAAAAAATTTGGATCCCCCATACGTCCAAGGTTTCAAAAAACGGTCCGCCAAGCGCCTAGGAGGCCTGAACAAAAAAACCTCACAAATCGACTCAGGCAGCCCTACGTCCCCCCATTTTTTGAAACCTTGCATACGTCCCCCCATTTTATTATATATAGAATTGCATGTTTTATTATTTAATAAGTACGTTTCATATATAATATATTGTTAAGATGTCGGAAGCCGGAAGCACATATCAAACATAAACATTTACATCTTTAGACTGTAAATGAAATAACTATAACTCAATTATTTAATATGCATTAAGCAAGTATTAAACTAACTAATAAAATAATTATACTTTATGAATCATACATCGAGAAAACACATTACACATGCAATTATTTAATAAGCAATTAAGAATTAAGCAATTATTAAACCAATTAATAAAATAATAATACATATAGATAATAACATGTCAAATATATATCACAGAGTATCAAAGAAAAAATACAAATAGCAAATAATAACAATCATTAGACATTAAGGGAAAAAATACAAAACCTAATGAAAACTATTGAAATATACCAACCTTCTTGCAGTGGACTCGATTTCGGGCCAAACCTTTGGAATCCCAAATCCCCTCTTTTACAACCCCTATAAGCCTCAAAAAGACTGGGGATGAATATCCTTTAATATTGTGACCATTCGAGGATTTTGAAAAAACTTTCGATCTCTCAAAAAATCTTCAAATCTAGTTTTTTTTCAAGTTGTTTCTCACTCTAAAGTTCACTAAAATTATTTTTTGGGGCAAGAATGGCCCCCCAACCCTTATCCCCCCTTTTAAAGGGGTAAAATGACATTTTTGCCCCCTCCCAAATTTTTTCTCCGCCAAACTCTTACTGGCTGCCTAGTCGGGCGCCTAGTTCTAACCACCTAATAGTGTGTGCTTTATAAACGCCTAGGCGTTTTATCCAAAAGTCCGCCTAAGCAGTCGGGCAGACAACTTTTCGAACATTAAATATATGCAATCAGATTCGAACAGTTGCCCAGATACTAGAAAGTCTATTGCTGGCTATTGTGCTATTCAGAGTGACCGATTCTACTATTTCTTGGGATTATATGCAGCATTATCTTGTCGACATGTCCAATGCCAGAGCATAATACCATGTTATTCCTTCATCTAAAGTGAAACAGTTGTGCTCAAGGTGGTGAATACTGGGTGTTCACCTCATAGATCCCCCACCCTTTCATGAACATAAAATCATTTACATAAAGAACGGATTCTAATTTTGTGTTCAATGACATAAAGGAAAGGTCTGGGCTTGGGCATAATTCATGAACGCATTGAAATCGCAACACTACATCCCAAGTTCGAATCCTAATGCTGAACACCCGGGAAAAAAGAAAGACAAGAGAAAGCACATTGTAGATTGGGTACATGATGGATCATTATCCTTTTCTATTTCTCTAAACAAGCAAATCATAGACATGTTAATTGAGGCTTAGACAACAGATAGGTACAAATACTAGGTGGAAGAACTGCCACTCATCTCCATAGATGAGTTTATGGGGGGTGTTGAGTTTCCTTTTTTTTCCTTCAAGAACTGGCGGGCCATTGAGTGTTGTAGATGTATTTGTAGCTTCATAAACTAACTCATGATTCAAGTAATTTTACATATTTTTCCATGATAATTTGTAAATAATGTGTGGGGAGTTTTCTTGTCTGTATACACTTACGTAATCTGTATATAAGGCTTCACGAGCTAATTCTTGAATTAGTAAGAATCAGTTTTTACCAAATCTTGTTCTATGTAACGAAATTTACTTCCACACACCCACTGACCATAACATCACCCACAATTCCTCACCATCAAAGGTTCTGTTTCTTGAACTCTAGGCTGACTAACCTTTCCTCAACCCACCAACTCTTCTAAAAAGCATCCCATGAATCTAATCAATAGCTCGACACATGACCAATGCGCTTCAAACCTGAAATACCAGCAGTAACTTGCACATGACCCACAAAACACTCTCAATGAAAGCTTTTCACCAACCTACGTGAGGAACTAACAAGGGTAATGCAAAAGAAACAGCTTTCAAAATTTGCATAACATAAAAGAACAATGGAATGGGGCTCGAAAATCAAAACCAAGTGCAAAAACAGACACTAGAAACAGAAATTGCTAACTAGATGCATAATGCCTAATATCAGCTGAGACATACACTAGATCAAAAAACACATGACTATATATAATATCATAAATCAATAATCACGTTAGGAATTGAAGAAAGGGGCAGAGAGGACACCTACTTCTGATAGATTTTCATATCAATCAGAATGGTGGAGCAATCTGAGCAATTGCTTAAATTGTTTACAAAGGTAGATGTGCAGTTTCAACTACCACAGTCCTCTGAAATCAGCAAGAATCAATTATGTAGAAATCATGCTCTCGGTTAGAATTAATTCTATAGAAAGAATGCTCTCTCAGACTATTAGTACCCATAAGAGGTATATTAGCTCCGAGAAAAATCCAACAGCACCTTAGTTCATAATAACCAATGGCTAAGCTTGTTTTCAACGGTTGAGATCAAATGAATATTCAGATCATCAGATACCAATGCACTGCTTTTTCTTGGTAACCCAGAAAACAATTTACTCAAGAGATGCTTAACAAATCAAAAATCAAATCCAGCAATTCTTCTCCTGAATTCAATCCATGTCCTTAAGAACCTTCCAGATATGCAAATAAAAACAGTTACAGACACACAAAAACTCCCACTTTTCCAAGTCACATGAAGCACGACGATTATTTGGAGAGTAAAAGATAAATGGAAATTCTACATGAATCAAGTCCAAGCCGAAAGAAATAGCGGTTGATGATGAAGGATCTAACCTTGAATTTGACAGGGAGGTTGGCTTCACGGTCATTGCAAAAGATGGTGCGGTGGCCCGGTGCCTGGGGCTGCACACGTCCGAGACGCACCGTCCGCGTCTGCCGGTCACCCCTCATCGATGAAGAAGAACTGCGAACCCTATCCCTCACCCTCTCCCATCTCCCTCCTCCTCCACTCATTCTCTCTCTCTGAACTACAAGAATGTTTCACCAGATTGGTGTAGGCAGAGAGATGGTCACCACCACGATCCCTGCCCTCTCCCCTGTTCGCTTGCAGATCTAAATACCTAATAAACCTACAGCCAAACTAGAGAGAGAAATGATGCACCACCGAAGCTAGAGAGAGAAACAAATGATGCATCGGGGGCCGTTTGGGCATCCGAGTCGTTTATAATTTCAAGTGGAAAACCTATACGAAAATATAGCCCCCACGCACCCTCTGCTTCGCCGTATCCCCCCTCTGCCTTCGCGCGCTCTCTCTCTCTCTCTCTCTCTCTTGACTCCCAACACGTTCGCGTGTTGTAAGAGCCACGGCCTCGCAGTTGTCTGATGAAACGGTCTTGTTTGGCAGGTCCACTGTTCAAAGGTGACATCAGGAAGCAAAGCAAAGCTAATGGCGACAATGACAAAAGAAAAAGAAGCTTCTTTATGCGAGTGTTTGGGATATTTTGGTAGCCATGTCAAAGTCCTGTTTTCTTGGCGGTTGACTCATAAATGACCATCAATAATACCCAAGTATTTGCTGATTGCATAGTTAGAGGCCGATAACCAATTTTTCTGTTAAAAGCAGCGAAAGATGCTTTTTTTTTTCCCTTTTTTTTTTCTTTTTTTTTTTTTGTCACCAGCTATTGGTGAAAGCAGAATGCTTCATTTGGGCTTTGCAACTAAACACCTCCCTTCCACTTTTCCATCGGGGTGCAACAATGTGTCAATCATCTTCGACGTCCTTATTTTTTACGGACCCCTGAGGAAGCAAGGAGTAGCAATGTTCGGTCAGCTATTTTTTTTTATTTGGACAGCAGACACTTTGCGTAACAGTGCATTACCATAAGCCTATTTTTTTGCAATCTCATTGTAAATCTTGTATAATTTCGGGTAGATCTATAAATCCATTTTATACAAGGTCAGCTAACCTATTTTTTACAGAGAGTCCCACATTGTAGGGACTCTCGGTTTAAACACTCAATGTACAACAAAATTTTATAGCAATATAGTTAACTCTTATAAAAATAAAAGTGAAGCCCTTATTTTCAATGGGATCACAGTTCAAGGGGCATCAACCATCAGGTCTATTATTGATGTTTGCTGCATGGTCATTGGACCGCAACTAAACTGCAACAAAATCGAAGCGATACTCTTTGGGGTTCACACAATTTTGAGAGCTCAAGAGCTTGATACCCTCCAGAGGTCTATGACAATGGTCTACCCCTTTTTCATGGACCTCCAAGTCATTCACATTGTCATAGCTTGATTGGAAAGACCCTAACTTAGATCGGCTCTTGAGAAGCATTATCTCTATTCTTTGTAGGGCGGCCATAGCTTCTAAAATCAACCCTCGGTGCCTCTTCTATCTATTGGTTGCTCTCTTTCTCCCTCACGAGTCCCACTTGCAATATAATTGAAAGGCTCAACGCAATTTTCTGAAGGTGGGTTTTTTTATAATAGGGGATTGCATCCTATAAGTTGGAGTACCATATGCCAGAAAAATAAAAAAGGGGGTATTGGGATTCACCATATTATTGACTTCAATATGCCTACAATGATGAAGTTAGCTTGAAAAATCATCTCAAAACCCATCCCCTTTTGTCTCATTTATTTGAGCATAGATTATTTCGCCATTCATTGGTTTTGTTTGTTATAAATTATACTTACAGGTGCCACAACACAATAAAAATAAGCCTGACATGGTCTAGGATCTTTCAAACCTTCCAGCCAAAACTAAACTTTATTCAAATTGAATACAAACTAACAATTTTAAAAAGCAAAAACAAGATAAGAACAACAAGAATAAATTAAAAAACTAAGTGAAGAATTAACTAGACTTTTGCTTTTGGTTATACCTTTAGGTAGCACGCTCTACACCTGATCACTTGACCGATGACACATTTAATTCTAGGGACTGCCAAATCTACTAATCTGGAAAATTTGGAAAGCACCTCTATGCTACCCTTATCCAAAACTTATGGGAATGATAATAAGACCACAATTAAGAACCCCTTTTTAAGTCTAAAACTAGGGCTGGCCATACCCTCTACCTCTCTTAGTGGGTGTGTGTCACCTCCGAGACTTATGGGGGTTGGCATTCCTCCTAGAGAGAGGTGGAGAGAAAATGACCTGGAGAGAGAGAAACGAAGAGAGAACTGATGTGTACATAATATGGGGTTTTTCCCCCTTTTATATACGTCTCTAGGGCCTTACGGTGATGTCATCAGATTTGAATTCAACAATATCCAAAATTATAGAGGTAATATGCAAGGTGAGAGAGACCTAATATGAGTCATTCATCTCTAAGATTAGTTATTATGATTTAGAGTGAATATTTACGAACCTTATACCCTAAGATTTGACCCATTATTTACTTCTATCTTTATCTAGACCTTATAACCAATTAAACTTATCTCTTGTAACAATTTAGAATAATATGAGATAATCTATAATTCATTTTCTATCACAAAGAGATAATTAAGAATTCAAATTAGTGTAAATTGGTCAAAGATTATCTAGATCTAAAAAAATTGTCCATACCAATTTCACTAAGAATAATTATTTTAGGATAATAACAAAATGGGACACTTTAAAATAAAATGTTCTTTAGAAGAATCTCTCCAAAAACGTAGTAAGGCATCCCACTTAATGGAGGCATATGGACAGCCCACATGTGGGCCCCACACGTGTGGAGCAAGGTCCTTAGCCCCCATGCAACCTAGCCCACATGTGGGTCCCACCCAATTTAAAATAATTTCTAAATTGTCCACCACATTTTATAAACATATAAAAATTCCCTCTAGGGTTTTAACGTAAATTAAACATTTTAAAATTCTTTAAAATATATAAAAATCATAGATACACAATTTTAGTTGAATTCAACAATTCTGAAGTCTTTAAAATTTTAAAACACTCATAAATACTTAATAACAATAGATTGGTTCCTAATAGGTAAAAAAGCAAGTGAATGTCAAGGCATTCCACTAGTGCATATAATTATAGTATAAAGGCCCTCTCTATGCATATGTATACGTGTCCCTCTATATTGCCTCTCAAAATGTGATTATCATGTATACATGCTATCCAAAATTTACCACACAACTCTTCCGTCTTAAAAACAGCATCCATGAGCACACCCATACCCGTACCCAAACATTACTTCTCGACCCATACTCATATCTATACTCATACCCGACGAGTCCAAAAATATGAGAACTAAACCCGTACCCAAAAAGGTATTAAGGACCAAGGGCCAAACACAAACTTAATATGCATCTCTCGTGTAATTATATGTTTGACTTTAATGTACCCCACCCTTTTTATAGTTTTTACACTCCTATAAATTTATTCCTTTTTTTGATATGGGATTAATCCTTCTTGTATGCATTTTCTTTGAGGTGCATAAAATTGGTTGAAAGTACTGCCATGCCATGCCATCCCATTTAATTGCCCCACACAACAACTCAATGACTCATTACGCGTGGGCCCCACCTATACCAAAGGCACACATGTAAGGACTGCCACCAATGTGACGCATTTAACTCTCCGTTGTCATTATTCTTTTTCTATTGTTATTTATGTGAAAACCTAAGCACCAAAGCCATGTATTTAATTATCAAATGCAATAAAATGAAGGAGAGAGAAATTAGTTACTAATGGATCATTATACTTTCCAATAATTACTAATAGTGTGTGGGATTAATCCCATATCCAAGAGGTGTAAAGAATCTTTGGGGTGTAAGCTTTATAAAAAGGGTTGAGAGACTTCAAGTTCGTTTAAAAAATTAAAACATATATAAAGCAATAAATTAAGGTTAAATTATATATAATAATTATGGATCTAGAGACCCTCTGGGATGGGTATAGCCATACCTGTACCTAGGATTGTTCATATATCACTTATTGAACCCGGACCTTATCTGTTGGTCCAAAACTTGGACCCATACTCGAAACTGTATTAAGTATACCCGTGTCGGGTCTCCGATCAGGTCCGGTCCCATTGCCACCCCTAGGGTTGACTTTTATATAAATCCTCAATGATAGTGTTTATGCCCAAGGGGAAAGGCTTGGGACCTTGGGTCATAAACTGCCCAATCACATTAGGTCAAATACATACACTCTTATTAAAGTGTTGAATCCACTATAATTATTTTGGTTAAATGCTCTCTAACCAACGTATAAAATTTGGAAAATTTTATATAAGGATGCAATCTTATAATATAGAACTACGTATACACCTCAAAAATCTATCGGAAAAGGTAGTTTTAATATTGAAAAACTCTTTGATTGATCATCTCGATATCAAGATGTATGACCATGAAAAATAAAAAGATTTTAATTCTCAGAAATAGTGCATTTTACAACATATTATCTAAACCGTCCATTTTCAAGATTTTCATATGTTTATAGATCTACTTGATTTTAACCATTTTTAAAATTTAAAATTTTATAATTAGATATAAAAATAGATTTTGAAATAATCCTAAGAACATTTGACATCAAAATTATATGCCATGATAAATTTTGAAGGTGCACCTTTCCTCTACTGCTATGGATGCATCCGTATGCCAACTGCACCCATAAAATATTTCATATAAAAAACCAAAAAAAAAGAGAAGAGAGGTGTGAACATAAAAACAAAAAGTTAAAGGAGATGCTTAAAACAACGAGAATACAAACTGGTGACGACTCGGGACTCATCGAATGGGACTAGGAGGATATCGGGCCAGGTCCCGCCTAGACTCGCTGGAGACCGCGCAAGTAAAATATGTTTTTTGCTTTAGTTTTTTGGTTTTTTGCTCATACTAAGTCGTACAACACCCATTTTGAACGATTTAGGGCCAAATTGATATGTCGTAATCCCAATACATCAATATTTTAATCAATACTAGCAGTTGGGAGATATTTAAAAACAAAGAAAAAATTCACCATTTTTAGCCTTCAAGCTCGATCCACCTTTCGTGAGATCTCTTTCTAATTCTTCAACAAAATCATCATAATTTCGATCCAAAGTGTGGTTATTGTATCCCTCTAAAAGATCCATATTACAATTTGTGGGATCTAAGCCCTTGGTTTGAAGAAATTTATAGTTGAGATTCTTAGATTTTTCCCAAAATCAAATATTTTGATCTCTCTCTCTCAATGTTGACCAAATGTTTTTGAATTTTTTTCAATTGCATAAAATCATTGCATATATATATATATGGAAAAGTCTTCCCAATGTCTACAGGAAAAAATAAACAGTGATTTCGTCTACCCTCATCACCATCCAAAGTTCATCGTACGGTCACATTTGTCCCGTAGTGTTTTTTTTTTCATTTTTTTTCTACAATCGGAATGACCTAAAATTTGGAACATGTGTACATCTTAG